TTATCCCCCTTCCTGCAATTTCTGCCTTCATGACCGGATCAGCCCTCAATATCTGCTCCGGTCAGGTCAAAGACCTACTAGGTGAGACTGCCAACTTCAGTACCCGAGATGCAACCTACAATATCATCATCAACACTCTCAAGCACCTTCCCAGTGCTGGACTTGATGCGGCGATGGGTCTCTCTGCCTTGGCCATGCTTTATATCATCCGTTCTGCCTGTAGCTATGGCGCAAAGCGATACCCTCAGCGCGCCAAGACCTTCTTCTTCCTGTCTACGCTGCGTACTGTCTTCGTGATCCTATTCTACACGATGATCAGCGCCGCGGTGAACATTCACCGCAGGCAGCACCCTGCATTTAAGCTTCTAGGAACTGTTCCCCGAGGCTTTCAGCATGCCGCCGTCCCGGTCGTCAATGCCAGAATCCTTAAAACGTTTGCCGGTGAACTCCCAGCTGCGGTCATCGTCCTTTTGATTGAGCACATTGCCATCTCCAAGTCCTTCGGCCGTGTTAACAACTATACCATAGACCCGTCTCAGGAGCTGGTTGCGATTGGTGTTACAAACCTGCTGGGCCCGTTCTTGGGTGCCTACCCTGCCACCGGATCCTTTTCCCGAACTGCCATCAAGTCCAAGGCGGGAGTGCGAACTCCCCTGGCTGGCTGCATTACCGCAGTCGTCGTGCTGCTTGCCATCTACGCCTTGCCGGCTATGTTCTTTTACATCCCCAAGGCATCCCTCGCGGGTGTTATCATCCATGCAGTGGGCGATCTCATTACCCCGCCAAACACCGTCTACCAGTTTTGGCGCGTCTCTCCCTTGGATGCGATCATCTTCTTTATCGGTGTGTTTGTCACCGTCTTCACCTCCATCGAGATTGGAATCTACTGCACTGTCGCTGTTTCCGCAGCCGTTCTGCTGTTCCGTGTTGCCAAAGCTCGTGGCCAATTCCTGGGAAGGGTGACCATCCACTCGGTCATCGGTGACCATCTTGTACAAGGTGATGGCAAGTATGGACCGGCCAACGGATATACTCCCGCCGATGGCAAGGGCAATTTGCAACGCTCTATCTTCCTTCCTATCGACCACGCCGATGGAACCAACCCCGAGGTCGAAGTGCAGCAGCCGTATCCCGGCATCTTTATCTACAGATTCTCCGAGGGATTCAATTACCCCAACTGCAACCACTACACCGACTACCTTGTCCAGACAATCTTCCAACAGACCCGTCGTACGAATCCCTTCTCCTACAGCAAGCTTGGCGATCGGCCATGGAACAACCCTGGTCCTCGCCGTGGAAAGGAAGGAGAAGACCGGTCGCATCTGCCGACTCTCCGCGCGGTCATTCTTGATTTCTCGTCCGTCAATAATGTGGATGTGACCTCCGTACAGAATCTGATCGATGTGCGGAACCAATTGGATCACTATGCCGCTCCGCAGTCCGTACAGTGGCATTTCGCCCACATCAACAACCGCTGGACCAAGCGAGCCCTGGCTGCCGCCGGTTTCGGCTACCCGACTCCAGCCTCTGAAGACGGATTTCATAGATGGAAGCCTATCTTCAGTGTTGCCGAAATCGAGGGCAGTGCCTCCGCCGCGGCGCTCGCCGAGCTCGTGAACAACCAGCAGGCCCACAAGGCGGAGCAGAAGCACGGTGACATCGAAGAGGGTCTCAAGGACAACTCGCACGCAACGGAGCGCGAAACGCACGGCATTGAAACCCCATCCGACAGCAGCAGTACTGATGACGATAAACTGCAGCGCGATCTGACGGAAAGCAAGGCGTACCGGAACCGCCGTAAAGTGGCGCTCGTCCAGGGTCTGAATCGGCCGTTCTTCCATATCGACCTGACCAGTGCACTGCAGAGTGCATTGGCCAACTCGGCGCCGGACCTTCATGTTGATCCTGCCGAGGTGAATGCCACGACTGATGCTTGAAATGCCTCCCTGGTTGGAGTTGAATGCCGTGCAGCTATATATGGATTTTGATCTAATGGTGCATTTTCTGTTTCTTGTTTATCAGCGAGTTCAGTTTGTCGGGATGGATATCCCGAGGTATACCCCTACAGTCTGGCTTTGTATATAGTCATAGAGCCATTGGATATTTGGATATAACATCATGGCAATGAAGAACTATTCTCTCGAGAAGTCAAATTTCCCTACTTTTCTAATACTTGCGGCTGAACGTGATTGTGGCAGTGCGCCACCCTTGGTACCAGGATAGGAGACACATTAAGTGCGCTAAGATTCTCAGCGATCCACAAAGCCCGACTCGGTTGTCCGTGTGGCTGACGCTTATCCAGGCTTCAACTTTCCAATACGAGAGTTGCCTCTTTGGGAAACGAAGCACCACGAGGGAATGGAACTGGTGACAGAGACAACAGAGACGCTCGTCTATAAAATGATGTATGCCCTCTGCTTACTTGTTCATCATATCACCTTCTGTTTATCTTGATACAAATCGACATAGACTGACTGCGCTTGCACTCCGATGTTCGCAGCCACCAGGTACATCTACAACAAGACGCGGACAGGGCCCAAGTCTGGCGGAGAGAAAAAGCCGCTCTGCCAACACCGCTTACAATCGAGCCAGTCTGCCCCTGCAGCAGATGATGGCTTGTCTACGGAGCAAACCTCGATAAAGACAGAGGACCAGCACATACTCCCCCAGTCCTCACCAGGTCCAGAAGACGACAGCAAATGCCACCTCTGCCAACAGCAGCGGCGCCACGACCGCATCTACAGATGGAAACTTATCTGCGGCCTGACACTCCCATATATCCTCAGCACGCTAGATCTCACAATCGTCGCCACGGCCGTCCCCTCCATCGCATCCCATTTCAGTGCGTTGCCCCAGTCCTAATACACACGTTCACAAAGTACTCACCTTTTTGTCCCAGACAAATTCGACGAACTCAACTGGATCATCACCGCGTTCACTCTCACATCGACAACATTCATCCCGATCTTCGGACAGCTTGCCGACGTCTTGGGTCGGCATGCGGTGCTCCAGCTCGCCATGTTCCTGATGCTGGTGGGGAGTACGCTGTGCGCGGCGGCGCAGAGCTGGGGGATGCTTTTGCTGGGTAGGGCGCTGCAGGGGACGAGTTCGGCGGGGATTATGAATATCATTATGATTGTGCTAGCGGATCGGGTTTCGCTGAGAGAAAATGCAAGGAATAATTCGATTTTTGTGTTTGTGGGGGGGTTGGGCTACGGGGTTGGACCGGTTGTTGGGGGGTAAGTTTTTTGGGAAATTCTTGATGATGGTGATGTGGTGCTGATGGCCATGGGCAGGTATTTGACTGATGTAAGCCTTGGGACTTGAAGTTCTTTGGGCGTCTGACTGATGAGACTAGAGTAATTGGAGGTACTGCTTTCTGGTGCCTATACCAGTAAGTCTGGTCGTTGATGGCAGGATCTGGACTTGGAACTAACCGTATACTCCATAGATTGCTTTCATATCGCATATCGTGATCTTCGTCCTCCTACGCAATGAGCTCGTGGAAGGAACAGTCTTTAAAAAAGGCTCGCGGTCGTCTGCCGTGCTTCCAGCCCTGGCAACGCTCGACATCGTCGGCGCAGTCCTGTTCATCTTCGGTGTCGGCCTTATCATCCTGGGCACGGCCTGGGGAGGGCCGACGTATCCCTGGTCTTTCCCCGAGGTTCTAGCGCCACTGATTGTGGGCGGCGTATGCTTTGCGCTGTTTTTCGTGTACGAGTACTTCCTCGAGCCGGGCAGATTGTTTGCTCGGATGTTCCCAAAGCAGGTGCCCATGCTGCCGTATAGCATGTTTGCTAGACGCGATACGATCTGGCTTGCGGTTTTGGAGTTTTCCAGTGGAGCGGGTACTGATCTCATCTTTTGCTTCTATGGTCAACAGGTACTGACGCTGGCATTGCAGCTATGTACTCCGTCTTCTATTTCATCGGTATATATTTCACACTAGTCGAAGCCTATCCTGCGTCGAGAGCAGGTATCAACCTGCTCTACTACATTCCAGGATTAGGAGGTATTTCGCATGCCCCCTGCTCTAATTCCAGCATCAAAGCTAACAGACAAAGCCGGCGTCTACATCGCCGTCTACCTCTGCAATGTCTACCCAGCCCAGACCTTCTTCACCATCAACACGGGCACCATCGCTGAAACCACCGGCTTCGCCCTCCTCATCTGGGCCATCAGCACGCAAAACACCGCCCTCATAAACGGTATGATGGTCCTCGCCGGTGCAGGCACGGGGCTCCGTCTCATGCCCGTAAACCTGCACACGGCAGGCGTGTGGCCCGAGAAGATCGCCCCGGCGATGTCGCTGATGCGATTTGCGCTGCCGTTCGGTGGAACGCTGGGGTTGACGATTATGGGGAGTGTTTTCAACAATCGCTTGTCGAGTAAGAGTAGTGCAGGCGGGGATATGGCCCGGTTGGACGTGCACGACGGGGCTTCGTTGGAGTATATTGCTGGTCTGCCCGGTCCGGAGCAGGAGGCTATCCGGACGGCGGGCAAAGAGGCCATCATGTGGGCGTTTATTGCCATCATGCCCGTCATCGGGTTGAGTCTTGCTACGGGATTGGTGATGGGTAATGTATGGATCAAGCCGGAGCGTTCGCGTCAGCGTCAGCAGCAGGCGGAGACCGGGAGCGAAGGAGCAGACGAGGGCGGCCACAGTGAAGTCATATACGTTCCGTACCTGTGGGCACTGCTAACGGTACTTCCCTTTCCTTTTGCCTTTCTCGACGCCCGTCATACAGTAAACTGACAGAGACAGGGCAACATAACCACATACAAACACACCAACAAGCCCATACCAAGGCACGAAGAGGAAACCGAACTCCATCCTCTCCCTCGGAGCCAAGCATAGCATAGCAAGCATAGAATAGCTTAGAGCAGCAAGCATAGCATAGAATACCATTCCGGATAATAATAATACACCCTCCAAACCTCCACCACACCTCTATCCAACTTCTATCCAATCCAATCCAACCCATCCAAAAAGGAAGTCATCACCTCAAAACACCCCCAACACCCGCCCACCCCAGAATAAACCCCGAGAGCGCCTCCCCAAGCACCCCGCCCCCAAGCCACACATCCCTCCACGCGCCTCTCCTCCCCCCATTCCCCTTAACCAACCCCCTCTCATCAATCCCCGCAATCTCCCCCCCAGCACCAGGAAAGAAAACACCAGCGCCCTTCCCGCCACTCCGCCTGAGAACAAGTAAATGAAACAATCCCGACACGAGCACCGTCCCGAGGAGATAAAACGCGAAGCCGGTTGCTGATTGCAGCGCGAGGATGCCCGCCGTGAGGCCTAGGAGGAAGGAGGTGAGGGAGTGGAGTTGGGAGAGGACCTATTTCTGTCAGTACTCATTCTATTTCATGGGGTAGACAAGAGGGAGGGGGAGTCTAACTCTGTTATTGTGTTGGACGGATTCCGGGACGAGCGGGTTGATTAGCAGGGAGAGCTCCTGTTTCGTGGCAGGCATTTTCTGTTCTGGTTCTGGTTCTTTCTTTCTTTCGAGGTGTGTCTTGCGTGTGTCAATCCAGTTCGCGTTGGTATGTCGTTGGCCGTGAGTCTTGATAATGATGTAGATATAATCTAGTAATGAGTGTGTTCGAAAGTGATGTACGTCTCTAAAGTGGTGGGGATATGGTAAGTTGATGATAGACGGAGGTTGACGAGTTCCACCGCTGTCGAAGAGCTCCACCAGCCAATCACAATGCTTGTTACCTCATCTACCTAGGTACTACGGAGTACAGATTAAGGAAATTGACTACGGAGTTACCTCCTACACACACTCCGTTACACTTAAGACTGCTTAATCATGTCATATTAATTGATTATGTGCATAACATAACAGTAGTAAATCAAACACTGCACATTCTGGTCAGACAGACCTGTTGCTTTCATAACCCGTTTCCAGACATCGCCAGCACTTGAGACACAACCGGGCCTCTCAAATGCAGCACGCCCTGTTGATCCGTTGATCGGCTGCGTAAAGCCAAAAAGCACGTCACAAAAAGTACATACATCTCTCCTTCCAAAGCTCATTCCAAAAGAGATCGCTCATAGGTCGGATCCTGCCACTTATGCCAAGGTCAATCTAGTCAAATTAATGCAGTTGAGAGAATGTTAGAATGAAAAAGAAATGGACAGAAGCAAATCCGTGTTCATCACGCAATGTTGTCGAGTTTTCCTTCGGACTTGGCCTCCTTGACTTGCTCAAACACCTGTGATCATCAGCACATACATCCCGTTAATTCAAGGGTTGAGCGAGACAAACCTTGAGCATCTTGTTCCGGGCGCCAAGAGCGTTGACACCTCGATCCTCCAGAGCCTTGTCGTCGAGCTCTATCAGCTCGGTCCATTTGAGATCCTTGAGGTTATCCGTGTACTTGTGCAAGCGAAGAGATCTCAGCCAGCTGGGAATATCCTTCAGAAGATTCGGGTCGGTGGGATCCTCGGGCGGCTTGGAGCTGCCACGGCGACCCCGGGGAGAGCGGCCACGAGTGACTTCGGAATGATCAGAGAGGTAGCCCTCATGACCGCCGAGCCCAAACTGGCTGAGACCTAGAGCACCCAATCCATTACCCAGTAACGGATTGTTCGGGTCATAAGCCGCCAGGAAGCCATTGTTCTGCGGCGAGGTGAAGCCCATTGCTCCAAGCGCGCCTCCCTGCATGGCAATGCCTGGGGAGGTGGGGCGGGACCGTCGACCCGCCATCGCTGCCTGCTGTTGAGCTTGCAATGCAGCTAGCTGTTGGGCGTTCAATAGCTGTCCCGCAACTAGATGATTCGCTCCCGGTAGACCGGGGCTTGCAAGACCGCCTTGCATCGTCTGGTTGACATTAGTGTTGGAAGACCTGCCCTGTCCATCGTTTGAGCGAGCACGGCGGTACTTGCGTGCATCATCCAGGGCAATGCGGTTGTTGACCGTCGACAAAGCGGCCAGCTTCATCGCGGTGGCATTCGCGACCATATCGGCCTGCGAGTTCGGCGGCTGGTGCACCTGCTGACCAAAGGTCGCTGTCATCGGAGTGTTGGTCATGGAGGCCCAGCTGGCATTTCCAACATTGTACGGCGACAGCAGCGGTGCCTCGATCTCAGGAGCCGGGATGGTGGCCGTCTGTGCGGGTAGCGGAGAACGCAGGCCGGACGAGGCCTGACTGAACTGTCCCATCGGCTGCTGACCGGATGAAGACTTGGGTCGGGCAATAGGCGGCTGAGGCTCATTACCTCGTTGAGCCCAGGGCGAAGCGGGAGGCTGACCCAGATTGTCTGTGTTGTCCGGAGCGGAGATGGTCGGTGCAACAAACGAGGAGCGGTCGCCATAGACAGCGCTATTGCGGTTGGAAGGCGGAGCGTTGCCGGTTTGCTGCGTGAACTCGGCCTTCTTCTTGGCGATGGCCGCAGCCGCATCGGGGAACATGGCATTAATGGTGGAAGAGTCCAGACCCGAGTTGCGCTTGGCACCTGGGGACGGCGGAGGGCGACCCAAGGAATTGCGGGAGCTGTCAATGTTCAACTTTGACATCGCATCATTCAACCTGTTGGACATCGCGTCTAAAGAACAAATCAGCCACAACCCTAGGATAGATATTTAGCCGCCTACATACCTTTCTCTCCAAAATTGGCAGGTGACAAGAGCCCCGACATTGGGTGACTTTTGGCCATCTGCTGCAGCACCTGAATGAAGAATCGGATCTGCACCTGCGTAGTCTGCTGCAGCAGAGCATAAAGAGCGGCAGTCCTCTCGGCCTCACTGAGGACGCGGAACCATTGTTCGATAGCACTCAGCTCGTCCTTGAAGTCCTGGTCAAGTGTGGCAGCGGCCATTTCCTCCAGAGTGGTCTCGTATTGATCGATATCGGCGAGCCACTGCTGAGCTGCACGATCCAATGGATCCTCCGCATTGTTCTGAGCCTGAGACTGCTGGTTATAGTACACCTCCGAGGACGGGCGGATGCTGCGAGACGACAGCGGAGACGGGAAGCCCGACATATCGGCCGACGCGCGTAGCTGGTGAGAACCTAGGTTCCGAGAAGACGACGGAGGGCGAAGGGACGACTTGGAGGCGTCCGGAGTGCTGTTACGGTTGCCGATGATATGGCTAGCCATGACGGCGATCGAATGATGGTGATAGTGTAATTCTTTTCTGGCTGAGCCGTTACAGCACTGGTGCGTGAAGAAAAAGTATTACTGCAAAACACCTGCAGTACCTGCTGAGTTTGCGCGAGAAGGAAACTCCAGACCTGAACGACAACGGAAAAGAGGCCGTATCACAATACAACAGAAGGTAAGGGCCGAGAATCACTCTAATGATGGAGACAGGATTTTGCAATGGCGAAGAAACCCAACCGAGATAGCTCTAGGCGACAACGATCGGGGCACAGACCAAGCCAGTGGCTGCACTACTTGATTCGAGACTCTGCCGATTAGGGATCGAACCGAAAGGGTATCGAAGGATTTTGTTCAAGGATACGTGAGAGCTCGCGTCGGGAATGTCGTCGTCGATAGGAGTTGTGCAAGGCGTAGCGGTCAGAGAGTCGGTATATTATCAGAGGCGATTTTGTAGTTGTAGGCTACCTTTTGGTTTCTTTTTTTTTTTTTCGCGTCGTATATTTTTGTCTCTTTTTTTAACGAAAGGATGTCAGGACCAACTGCAATAGTGTGTCAAACACAACAAGCAGAGACCTGAATCATCAAAGGAAAAAAGAAAAAAAAGAAAGTGAGAAAAGGACGAAGAGGGTGAAAGGGAGAGGGAGGAGATTAGAGATGATGGAGGATGGACGAGGGATGGAAGAAGGAGAGAGATGGAGGAAAATAAGAGAAAGGAAGAGGAAGAAGAGTTTCCAGTTTGAGGAGACAGTCGAGGCTTTTTCCGGTTGGGCACTTTTGGTCGCTTTTTTTCCCTGGGTCAGCCATCTGCTAGCCCAACACCCAGGACAACGTGCTTCTGCTGTGATCCTGAACTATCCAGAATTTCTTTCATCTCTTTGAGCTTTACTTTGTATCTTCTTCACGGAAGTTCATCATCGACATTTACTGTGATTCCATCAGTCTGGTGAAGTCCGAGGAACCCACTGCCCAATCAGACCGTTCGCTTGCTGTTAGCAGCTCGCATGCTAACTTATAGATAGTGGGGATCTGTCGCTATGAATTAAGCTCATGAGGATCCTTTATGTTTTTCCTTCTATCCTCTTTTGAATCAACCTCGTGGAAACCAACCAGCAGTATCTGCGTCGAAACGAGTCTGACGCGCCTTGAATGAATGTGGAAGCTGGGGACAGTACTCTACTTGACTCCATTGGATACATGCCATCGGATGCATCCAGCATCGCAGTTGAGTTGCTCTACTCTTGGTGATACTCTCGTACTCTGTATGCTTGTGTGAATCTGCACCTGGTCATCTCTGAGCTTATCAAGCACTACTCTCCTGCGTTCATGGACTGCGATTCATTTGGTTTTCTCTGCAACGTCATAGACCCAGGTGGATAGTTCAAATCGGACTTTTTCAAGATGGAATATCCTGGTGACGGAAATGGGTCCGGCCGCCCCTCTCAGTCTCAGGAGTCCGCCTATCCTGACATTGATGAGACGATGCAGTACCTTTGGCAAGGTTCTCAGCCAGCCGTCGCAGGCGAATCCTCACTCCACTCCGTAATTGATCCTCGCCTTTACAAGGATCTGTTTTCACAGAGCGCCTCGCAGCTGCCTGGCCAGCAAGCTATGGAGTACGAGGACGAGGAGGATGCACAGGAGTATTCGCAAATGGATGACTCGGCGGAGGACTCCACTTACGAATTTTCAGCAGAAGAATCTTCAACGTCAGCTTGTTCATCCGAAATGACCTTGTCCCTGATCACTGATTTTTTCTAGGGAAGAGGAGCCTTCAGATGTAGACGAGAATGCTGCAGACGAAGGTGATGACGATTCGGTCGGTCGGAGACGACGCCGCAGAAGAGGCACGGGGGCCTTTTCTGGACGATGGGGCGCCCGTGGTGGGAAAGGAATTAAGAGAGGGCCTCGTAAGCCGCTGGAGCCCAGTGCGGAATTCAAGATGCTGCACTCGGAAGCTACCTCGGCCTTTATCGATGGCGACTATGAAACCGCCATTGATCTTGTGAAGCGTGCGATCCATATCAACCCTGAGATGTTTGCTGCCCACTCGCTGCTGTCGGAGATCTTTCTAGCTCAGGGCCAGAAAGACAAAGCTCTAACGGCGCTGTTCAGCGGCGCTCATACGCGACCGAGGGATGCATCGGTGTGGTTCAAAGTAGCGCAAATGATACTTGATCGAGCCGGTGATGATCGTCCAGCAGCCCTGAACGATGTCATCTATTGCCTGAGCCGTGTCATTGATATTGAACCCAAGAACTACAATGCGAGGTTTCAGAGAGCTGCAGTCTATCGGGAGTTGGGCCATAACGGCCGGGCTGTCACGGAGTACGAAAGAATCCTCAAGGAGGTTCCGCATCATCCAAGGGCTTTGCGAAATTTGGCAGAAGCCTACATTGATCTCAACGAAGTTCAGAAGGCTGTAGATCAGTGGACGGACAGTGTTGAGTACTACAAGTCCTTTGAGCCGGAAGATGCTCCCGACTTTTCCTGGTCCGACGTCAACATATACGCCGAATTGTTCAGCTATCTAGGCCGATATGAAGAAGGATTAAAAGCTCTTAAGTCTGTCTCGCGATGGCTTCTTGGTCGCCGAGATGATACCATGTGGGAAAATTTCAACGAAGACGACCGCGAATGGGATGCAAACGATTCTCCTAGGCGCATCAAAGTCGATGGTTATATTCCAGGACGTTGGCCGCGAGATTCATATGGGTTGGGCCTTCCGCTTGAACTTCGGATCAAGCTTGGTCTGTTTCGTCTCAGGATGGGCTACGATCACAAGAACGAAGCTCTGGTAAGTGCGGAGGGCAAACGTCGCTTGTGGATCTCAGATCTTTCTGACAGAGTCACAGCATCATTTCTCATGGTTGAACCCAGAAGACACCTCGGAAGGGGCTAGACTCTATGATTATGGCGACCTCTTCCGCGAGGTTGCTGATGCGCTCAAGGAAGTTGGTTTACTGGGGGACGCGCTCCGGTATTATACGCCGATCCAGCAGACTACCGAGTATGCCGACATCAGCTATTTCATGGCCATGGGAGACTGCTTCATGCAGTTGGGCAACATTGAAGAAGCTGAGAATTGCTATCTTACGGTAGCAGACTATGATACAAGAAACATAGAGTCGCGCGCACAGCTCGCAAAGCTGTACGAGAGCATCGGAATGACTGAACAAGCGCTGAAGTACGTCAACGAAGCCGTCCTGCTTGGGCGACAGGAGACCAGGACTCGTCGCCGGAGAAAGGATAATCGGTTGGAACAACTCGCGCTGGAGTTCAGAACCGAGACCGATCCGGAACTACCAGGTCTGAGAATTGCTGTACCGCCTGAACATGCTGAAGGACTGGCTCCGACGCTTACCACTACTTCTGTAAGCGCTACGAGGAGAAATGTCCAAGAAGCGGAGGGAGAAAGGACAGAACTAGTCCAGTTTTTGTATGGGAAGCTGTTAGATATTCACCCAAGGGTCAAAGAGGGCAATGCCGAAGCGATTGAGGACTGGCTCGACATTGCGGATGCTTTGCTACGTGAGTTTCGCTCCAATAAGGTGTTTTATCCTTTCCAACGCAACATCGTCTTTTTGGGTTATTCAAGGGAAGCACAAAGGAAGGCGGGAAAGTACAAAAATCGTACTCTCATGGATGAGATGCAGGAAATGGCAAGTCGTCTTCAGGAGTCTTTAGGTATGTAAAAAAAGGCGCTCCGAAAAGACATGATCCGGCTTTAGCTTACACTTATGACAGGCACAGTTACCGAAGAGCCTCTCCAGGACGCTGTACCAACCGACTACCATGGTATCAGCTTCGACGAGTGGCTGGACTTATTCCTGCAATACGCTCTTGTCGTCTCAGGGCAAGGGGAGCCTGACGAAGCCTACGATAGTCTTGCAGCCGCTGCAGATGCCAGTATTTGGTATCACTCGAAACCTTGCACTCGACTTATCCACGTCTGCTGGTTTAGTAAGTTGCCCCTTGCACCTTGGTCTCGCTCGATGGTATACTGACCTGTACAGCATGTGCCCTGAAGGCGCAAGACGAGGAAACTCTTGCAAATGAAGCACGCTGGTTCATCAAAGAGTATCAATTCGTCACAGACACATATCGCTTATTCTCCATGCTGAGCCGGCTCTGCGGCGACCCTCACCGGTCTCTCTTCCATTCCTCACCAAACATGAAATTCATGCTGCGGCAGATCAAGGCCATGGACTTTTCCATCCCGGATGGCCCCAATGACTCCCGACCCAGCAAAGCAGTCCGCGAGTCAATCTACAAAGAGCGTGCGACGCTTACCACCCGTGACGAGTCAGGCGAAGCCATTCCCGCTGACCAACTGGACGTCGCCCTGCTTGTGCTATATGGCCACATCCTATATTCCGGCAACAGTTTCTACCCAGCTCTCAACTACTTTTTCCGCGCATACGATCTCGACGACCAGAACCCTGCCGTCCTCCTCTCCATTGCCCTCTGCTACATCCACCACTCGCTCAAACGTCAATCCGACAACCGTCACTACCTCATCATGCAGGGCCTCTCATTCATGCACGAATACCGTCGCGTTCGCGAGCGAAAGGGAAGCCTCCTCCAGGAACGGCAGGAGATGGAGTTTAACTTTGCTCGCGTATGGCATCTACTCGGCCTCGCGCATCTCGCCATCGAAGGATACCAGCGCGTCCTGGCGCTTGGGGGGCAGATCCAGACCGAATCTCAGAATAAGATCTCTCAGCCGCTGACCACGAACACGCGCCCAGCAGACGGTACCAACGTCGTAATGGGGGATACGGATCACGCCGGGCAAGTTGAGATTCAGTTCGTGGAGGACTTCTCGCGCGAAGCTGCCGTTGCGCTGCAGAATATCTTCGCATTAAGCGGTGACCTGGAGTCAGCGAGGGAAGTTACGAGCAGATTTCTGGTTATATAAAAATCGCCTCGGAGTCCCGGAGCGAATTGTACTATACTGGTTACTATGAACGAAGCAACGAACATAATCAAGGTCGGCGCCTGGGCCTGTGATATTCACTGATTTGAGCATGTTTTGATACTATTCACAAATATTACCCAAGTACGAGATAAATTTCTGATCACATGCACCAGTGGTGGTCACTGTTATTTACCACGAAGTATTATCAATGCTGCGCCAGGTATCCCTCAAGCTACCGCATGACGTGATAACACAAGAACCAAGCATCAAAACAATATATTAACGAGTATGACAGCAAGGTATCAATCGATGCTAAAATCAATAATATAGTACAAGAGGAAGCCGATCTACTCTAGGGGTATGTCATACGCCAACGTCACGCAGCACGTTCAAAAGAAATGGCACTATGCGACCGGGTTCCCTTCGCCCTTCGCGAAGATCCCCGGAGATCGACTACGCATGGTGACCTGGCGCCCGCTAACACCGTTGCCGACTAGCCACCAGCCATCCATGCAGGCATCCGAAAACAGAAATCGATGATGGAATGGGAAGAACAGAAGACACGGGCGCTCTAGGTGGTTACTGCATCCTCGTCGGCGTACATGTCTGAATCGTCAAAGAAAACGGCTGACTGGCGCCGCATTTCCTCGAACATGCTGCTTCGTCGCGCGTCCGGGGTGTGTGGGCGGGACGAAGTTGCAGACAGGCTGTCTGAGACCTCCGTGTAGTGGGACTCGTCTTTGTAATCCGACTGGCGCTCAGGGAAGCTCTGGTCGAGACGCTCGACCATCCGGTCTGCATGTTCCTCTGCACGGTCCTGGCGTCGGCGCGATAGAATCGGTGACATTACCCTTCCTCCGCCGGAGGAACACTGCTGCAGGCCCTGCATAATCGCGTTTTCAATTTTGAGCCGATTTTTGATAAATTGAATCTTCGGGAAAGCGCTTTGCTTGCCCACGTGAAGCATGCGTGCTAGTCGCTCTGGACTAGGATCCGATAGTATATGGTAAAAGTCGGAAGGGATGCTCTTGGGCCAAATCGTGATGGTGCCGCTGAATTTCTGCAGCCAGATCTCACTCCAGTCCTGGCCCAAGGGTCGAGGCAGTAGCTCGAGATGGCGGAGAACTCGAAGCCACTTATTCATATCGAGTTTGATATATTGTTCGATCGCAGACCCCAGAAACCCTCCGCGCCACCCGCGGCCTTTACGATGGGTGACAGGCCGGCCGACGGATCCTCGCGAATTGAAGAAGAAGAGGTTGATATGCGGGTTGACCTATCAAATGATTTCGTTAGAAGAGGTTACTAGTTACTGACGACCCAAATGCAAGCAGAACTTACCTGTGATACTATTGTAAAATTCACGTTGAAGTGCAGATTCAAAGCCTTGATAGGTATATCCGTCCTCAAACTGCCGTCCTTCCACTTGTGTCCAAAAGAATATGGAGCAAGTGTTCCATCACGCTTCTTGGTCATTAGAACAACCGGGTTGAGAATACCAGGGACTGCCGCGGACGCAAGGACTGCGCTCCAGATGACACAGTCAGGCGAGGTGAGATAGTTCGCAAGAATCGTCGGTGAATGAGGGTCAGACGGAACACAGGAAACATTCAATATACGCCCTGTTCTCTCGTAGGCTTCTCGGAATGTGGTCGAGCCCCTGCAAAACCAGCTACACTGACGAGCCCAATCCAGAGTGTCGAACCTAGCGCCCGTTCGCCACCAACGCCGCACCCACGTTGTGAAGCCCTCATGGCACGCCCTGATCCTATGAGCCAGAGCCGGAACGAGCAGCTGTTTCAGTTCCTCGTCAGTCCTAGTAGCGACTAGAGCGGCAACCAAGGCTCCTCCTGACGTGCCGGTAATGATCTCCGGTAAGACGTCGTTATCGAGCAGCGCCCGGATCACACCAAAATGGTAATAGGCAAATGTGGCACCACCAGACAGGCAGAGAGCCGTGCGACCGAAGTTGGTGTCCAGATGCTTGAAGAACTGATACTTGTCCTCATTCGAGATCTGTTTACTATCCAGGACTAGCCGGATACAAGAGTGGACTTCGTCAATGTACTCCTGCACGAGATCTTTCGTTCCTGAATATGTTTCACTATACAGTCGAGGATTCTCCACGCCTGCGAAATTGTTCTTCACGCATGCTTCGAGCAGGAAGCAAAGCTCTTCGACGGCAGGCGGATCACTCAGGCCTGAGCGTCCATTCTGCATCTCCGTCTCGGCTGCCTTTCTAGTCTGCTTGAGCTGCGCAACCACTTTATTGATGGTAAGATGGTCGTAGTACGCATATTCGTCCGTTTCCTTCCACTTGAGATTGCCGAGGTAAGTATCGAGGGCCTGTGCTGCTTTCAGCCAGTCCTGATAGTTGGTTTGCATGGACAGCTCTTTCCTGAGTCGCTCCCTCTTGCCTCTCCATGTCACGAATTGCTCATATAGGAAGATATACAAGCGCGTCAGTGTATAGGCGAAGCCGAGGACCGTAATCCATGCGAAAACCGTGAAGAGAAATGGCCATTTTAACACCGTGTAGAGCACACCTTCTCGCGTTTCATCTTTGCTTCTCCTCGGTTTGGTTCGACGGCTTTTTCGAACTCGTTGATTGACTGGACGCCAGTCATTGAGCGCAACGAGAGGAGCGGCTTCGGGGGCATTCAGCGCCTTCTCGAACTGCCGGAGGTCATCCGGGTCGATAAACTCCCGGTCATAGTCGGGAAGCGTATTGGGATCGTATATGTCGCGAGTGGCAGACTTTTCATCCGATGTCATTGTTGGAAATCATTCATAATGGATAGATAGAAAGAAGAGACGTTGCTGAGATGTTGTCCCCAAGTCCTGTTGGCAAGCCGCAACTAACTTGACATCGACGTCAGATGGTGTCACCGCCCCACGTATCAGCAAGCAAGCCACAATTCCAGCTCCAGGTTAGTGGGTGGACTGTGGCTGATACGTTCTAAACTTTTCTGGAACTAGTGTGGGAAATATATCAAATGACTAATCAGCTGGGCGGAAGAAGATAACGTTCTGATAACACCCCCGCTCAACCGACGGTCCGAAACACAAGGACCCATGGGTCTGTGACTTTAACGCTTACAGGGATGAGGACAAGGGCTCAGATAAAGACAGATCGACCGAACAGCGGAGTACTCACGGAGTATCGACCTCGAAGTTTGTCCTTTTTTGCCTATGGACCGTTCATAGGCTATCCGCAGCTTGCATTCGCTCCTAGAACCAACTGAACGCTCCAGATGACGAACGCCTCAGTGATTGCAATCCAGGATAACTAGCATTCCGCTCAACATCTCTTCCCCTCAATCAGTCCCAGGATGACCAAGTTTTTGCCTCACACTTGAATACTTTTCCGAAACTTCAGCAGGTCCATGTCAGCCACCATCGAAGCATTTGCTGCTCATGTCGGATCTGTATGGCCAAAGTTGCTGATAGATCGACATTGCAGAACGCAACCTTGAGACATTTTTCCCCGTATTGCTCTTGATCTTCGAAGGCAACGCGTGGTGTGCAAACCCCCCAATATCACGTGTGTACACTTGGCAATGCATTCCACGCAAGTTACCCCGGATCTTGCCTTCTAATCTGGGGGACATTGGAATGCGTCCTGTACACACACACATTGACAGCCCACGCGACATCCAAAGGCAATGCGCATGTCTAGGTAACAGATCAGCTGGCTTTAGAATGCGTGGCTTGAAGGGAGTACCCCTCCGTAAACATCATCAAACAAACCACAGCAACAGACAAGTATCCAATTGATAGCCAGCCATCAGTCGCATACATACCATTGGTTACTCCAGCTCTAGCCTCCGACACCAAACAAAGTCCGCGCTGCAGTCAGCCATTGGTGATACATGGCTAGGTTTTGAATATGACACCGCCCATGAGGGGTCCTCTTCATTCGGAAGAAGAGAGCCATCCGCATCACCAAAGCACCGCAGCATTAGCGGCCCAAATCTCAACTATGTAACCAGCGTTGACGTAGTCTACGCAGAATACTCTGTAATGATGAAGAAACATCTTCCTGAAGAGTTGAGCGGGGTTAAGAACATTGATCGGCGAGACTGAAATAGCAACCAAGCCTCATACATCACCTCCAGCATTGCGGGATATCTGAATGTGGTACTCCGGAAGGAAGGAAAATTTCACTGGCGGGACTCCCTCTAGTGCAAGGCGACAAGCATACAGAACCAATGTTATACATTGAAGATAGCAATGGCTCGATCAGATGAGATCGGCCCAAGGATGTGCTATGCTTACTGGCTCGGCTCAAGCATCATCGAGGCGAATGATTTGCAGCTACTGCTTAATATCCTGCCTAGCGTTGCAGACACGACCCCGCTGGTATAAAGTTGGTACACAGGGTGCGGTGTGCCTGCAATTATTCCCATTGACGTAGGTATGGACATCCTTCAAGAACAGCGGTGGCGATGGATACAACCACTCAGATATGGAAGGATCTGAGTCTATTGTGTGCTTTGGTCGATGCAGCATTAGCGTGCTCGATTAAGCCTGCTCGGCTTGTTGCCGCTTCCATAGGATGCTGGCTGTAAATGGGTCCCTCTAATGGAGACTGGAGACTGGAGGGGTCTTGAGAGGCAGAAAAAGAAAAGTGTCCTGGTCGTTCACTTGATTTGTTCCACCTGGCTTTTACTCAGCTATGATGCTGTCCTCAAAGGATCAAAGAGCGGCACATAGTACCCAGGAGCCCTCTGCCGAAGTTTGAGTCCACAGAAAGTGAATCAATACAGTTTTCTTGTCCGTATATGTATTTCTCATCACTAGATGTACTCTGTTTACATCAGGTAATTTCAACCACGTTTATTCGCTTAACGCGCGATAGCCGCTGGGTGTCAATAAATACTACCTCACACCCCGGTCGCCGTTGGACACTGTCCTTTTTCGAGGAATCTACTTTCCGAACTGTTACTAAACAAAGGACAATCGCCTTGCCAGAAACAGCAACCTGCATGGGTCTTAAT